GCCCTTCAGGCGGCACAAGTTCACCACCGCCCCTGTGCCCGCAAGAAAATTGGTCTTGTGTGCTCCACAGCAGAGAAAAAAACCACAAATAAATTGCATTTTGAAGTATGAATTCGTGTAAGAGCAAGACAGGCTGTGAGGACACCACCGCTTGGTGGGTACTGGAGAGCCCCTGCGAACTGTGCTGCCGTGCCGCCACACAAACTAACTGCACAACCGCATTCGACAAGAATAATTACAGCAAATACACCAAAGGATGAAAGAACATTTTTTTTTTTTTCCTTAAAAACTGACCTCCAACAGCAAAACTGAAATTGTGGCCTCAATATGCCTTGTTGGAGCTTTTAGGCTCCAAGCGGTCCCTAAAGGTTGAGGCTGGACGGGCTTCGAAACAGCGGTGGACTGCTCAGTCCCTTGGCCCCAATACGTAATTTGTCCTAAAATACAAAGCTAGATACAAACTACACGTGTACCATTCAAATTCAACCGTGTTTTCTCGTCACACAATATCCTCGTAACACGTCTAATCTTTGTTACCACCATTTGCATGTTTCTATGATGGAAAAAACCTACAGAAAAGGCTTCCTTTCTTTGTTCTTCTCTAGGCTATTTCAATATCGCTGTAAATTATGTTAATACATAGGCTTTACTCACACAGGTGAAGGCCTGTGAAGAAACAATGAATAACTGATAGTATTTGAGTGTTTTACCAACTCGAGCATTGATCAAGCTAGTTTTACTGTTGTTTGACCAGTGCACAATAGCTGTCTACAGCACTGAGCAAGAGATTAGGCTGCCCAGACACTACACGTAGCTAATCAGTCTTTACAAATTGACCAAAACCAATTAGATTTAGGAAAGCCCGGTATTCATTCCAAAGATTTTGTCCAAATTAGGAAATAAGTTACCCAATCAACAGTCCCTTGGCTTTTCTTAAAGGCACTTTCTTAATGTGGGATTAGTGCAGTGAGCATCACTCTTGATTTTTTTAAAGCTTTGCTTTCATTTTATAATTAAGATCATGACACTTTCAAACTGCAAATACACACTCAAGCACACCAAAGCTGTAGCCACAAACAGCTGATTTCAGTAAAGCAGTGTATAGCAAAACAGAATCAAGCTATCTGGTCTCTCAAAATACTGGCAGCAGACACGAATCAACACTAGAATACTAAATATACCCTGCTCCTTTCCAAAACCATGATATTCCAATAGCAAGCAAAACGGATTTACTTACTTTACAATTTGACATCCCCCCTCCCTTCAATTTCAATCAGTATTACACTAATTATTTCTTTCAATTTCTGTGTTGCAAATGCAGGAATATTATAGTGCTACTTGGATGTTTCACACACCTTTTAGTTAAGAACAACTGAGCTTACAATTAAGCATGTGTGGTTTTCTAATGCCTTGTTTTACATTAACACAAATTCAAAAGCACTGATTAATAAAATTAACTGTTCAGGAAGCTCTGCAAACTGAGGGTTGGATCTGTGTCTGGAGGTGATTTGTCTCCAATTTTACTAGTGGATTTGTCTGCATATTTCCTACTAGTAGAAACCTGTTATGCTTTTCATACAGTAGAGGAATCAGTGCAGAAGCAAAGAAAATTTCATTGTATTATTTGCGACATAAACCTGGATGACACAGTAGCACAGCAAGTTTACAGTTAACTGCATAGTTTTCAGAGATTTGCTTTCTGAATACATGGAATAGGTATTTGTGCAGTTGACTTTTATTTCACAGCCTTAAAACACACCAGGAGAGACGCTGAAGCAAAACAGTTTTGCATCCCTGGGAATGAAGTAAGTGCATCCCTCGTTTGAAATAACACAACTTTTAGATAGGATTCAAGTCACTCCAATTAAGTAATTTTCTATTTAGAACAAACCCAAGAAATTCCAAACCCGTCTTTCATTTATCCACACAAAACCCCCAACAATCATCCGTTTGCATATGTAGCACAAACTAGTCAACACTCACTGAAGGCCCCAGGAGACTTACCTAGAGACCCTAGTTCCATTCCCAAACCCACATGCTACTTAGTAGATACAGTACAAAATATTTAGCCTTTATGTTGATTTCTCCTTTAGCAAAACATGGAATTGTTGGCTACAAATTTTATGCCCCGAGTACATGAACAGCAAAATAAAAGCTTTGGATGGAAATGAGGCAGAGTGGGTGGAAGAAACTTCAGTTTTCAAATAAGAATTTTCAACATCTTTGAAACTTGGCCCCATGCAATTAGTGTCTCAATCAGCCAACCAATTTAGGACAGAGGCAGATACATAGTATAAAACCAACTGTGTCCCTCTAAGCCACTATTCCTGTATGGCAATCTGCAGAAAAGCTGAGATTTGTGTGTGACAAGGCTAAAAGTGGATCTCTATCCTAAAGAGCTAGGTAGTTTAACATCATGTATTTGTAAGACACCTGTAGCAGCACAAGAGACACAGAAACCACTTCAACCATTGGTAGTACCAATTTCCTCAGAGCTTACTTTGAGGCACTTCATATGCATAATGCACCAGACTACCTCCTTTCTATCTTCTCACACATGCGCCTACCACCCTGTGAATACCCACGTGAGCAAAACATTACACTGCAGATCTTGTGATAAAAGTTAAACCCTGAAGATACTGATATTGCAGCATCTTGCCTAAAAGTTGCCGTGAGAAGAATGCAAACTGCAGCAGCTTACACCAAAATGTAAGTGAAACCAACCAGTCCAGTTTCACTTTAGTCCAAAGTGCAAAAATAAATACTATTTTTCCTTAAAAGGTGCTATCAGTAGTAATTAAGTCTCGGAACACTGTTCCGCCTAAATAGACCCACTAGAGTACTAAGAAGCTTTCTACCTAAGGAAATTCTAAGGATGACCTGATGTACAGTTATCTCTGCTACATTACATAGCTAGGCGCTGGCCACCAAATTCAGTTGCAAAAACTTCTATTCTAGCAGATGACAGCACAGCACACTGTCTGCTCTCTAAGAGCACAGTACATGAGGATAAGAGTGCATCCAGATAGTGCTGGTTACATTTTTGGTTTTGTCTAGTTCCACCTATACATAGTTTTTTGGCCAGTTAAAGCTAATTTGATCTTGTACTTTTGATAGTGTTCTTTTGTTCATTCTTAGGTTGACTGTTAGCTGTAGCAGCAGTTTTATAGTCATTGTCAGGTGCTTTTATCATTAAGAGCCTGAAAGGTTCAGTTGTTTTCCGAAGTCTCTGAACGACAACAGCATTTTGCAACTTTGCTTCCTCTAGTGTGAGGGTCTCGTCTTGCAGCTCTCGAAAAGGCAGCGAAGTAGTCAGTGTGAAGGGCATGTTTCCCTCTGATCCTTGGTACTTTGTTATGAAGTCTCTGACGTGACTTATTCTGAGAAGAAAATAAAAACAGCATTAGAGCACTCCAACCTCAACACAGATCGTACACACAACACATGAAGCCACAAGAACAGAGAATGAGACACGTGCTTCATAGAGTTCAGGATGGAAAAGACCTTTAAGATCGAGGCCAACCGTGAATGTAGCAATGCCAGGTCCACCACTAAACCATGACACCAAGTACCACATCTACAGGCTTTTTGCATAGAAATGGAGGAACACAGATGGGACAACATCCTGAAGTGCCAGATCCAACTGGGAGGCAAGGAGCAAAGTTTGCGTGGTCTGGAAGCAGTCCCAGTTGGATCAGGATGAAACTCTTACTCTGAGCACTCAAACACTTCACTACAGCTCAGGCAGTTCCACAATCCTGCTGTTTCTTAACCAGCTGGTGGAGCTCTTACCTGAGGTTTCTGTAGCTAAAAGACAGAATAAAGATACCTCCAGTGTGTGGTATATGTAGCAAAAACATAATAATAGCAGTAGTAATAACAATAATAAAGAGAAAGGGTTTGCTAAAATTGTCTGGATAGTTTATGAGTTAACTAGGTCTAAACATGGTCTCGTTCTACCAAAGCAGCAGTGAATTCATTACACATTTGAGCTGCCTGTTAAGGTGAGATGAACCTTGCTACAAGTGAGCAAGACAGAGGTTTTGCTGTGGAAGAATCAGGATTGACCAATTTAATTGGAAAATGAAGATGACAGGATACATCCATATCAGTAAAATACAGTCTCTTAGTGCCTATTCTCTATTCCTGAGGTCAACTGGTAGATCCTGGCTATGGGCAAATCACTAAATACTTCCTTCCTCTTCCCCATGCAGAGCGGTAGCCCGTGGGGTTTACTGCCTCCTGGGAATGGTCCGTGACCTCAGCTAACATGTGAACCGAGCCCAGATATTGTTTGAGCAGTGCTAGCTGGCTTGGGGGAAGAGCCATCCTAACCGTTCAGCAGCACAGATGACCAAGTTCTCATGCCCTAGCCATACTTACTAAGACAGATATAGCCAGCACCTAACTCCTGTGCACACACACCTCAGTGAAATGGCAGTGTTTGGTTTTACAAACCTGGTGCCTGAAAAACCTCAAGCAGGAATAAACCTTGGGTCAGACATTTATGGGTATCTACATGCACCGTAGTTTCTTGAATCCCAAGGCAGCTGAGGCAGTTTGCCACCAGCTGCATGCTTTAGGAGGAACAAGTTTCTTTCGAGGCTCCATTCCTGATGCTCTGGGGTCACACTTAGTGACTGCTCAAGAAGGGACATGACTCAGCTCAAAACAGTTACGTGTGCGTTTCCTAGAGCACTGCTCTGCCAGTGGCTTCACTCCCATGTCTCATCAATTCCCTGTGTGTGCACTTTTGCTCCAATGCTGTAACTTCAATCTTTCATCAGTAATCAAGTCATATATAAAGTAGCAGCTACTATGACACATACACGTTCTATCTGCAAAAGGGTAAAAGTAATCAATTTACCCAGGACTGTTTTCTGCTTCTCCGCTGAAAGGAATCGTAATGCTTAAAGATATGTACTCCAAAAGGACTTCCCCTGTTTCTTATTAGGTCATACACAAATACTGTGTACAGCGCTAACACATTAGTCTTGGGGTAGTGATATGCTATTATGGAATATTTACTGCAAACTACTTTGAAAAGAGCATCGCACAAGTAAGGCTGCTGTCCTGCTTATCTCAGTGTTTCTTTTTTTCCTCCTAAAGCAATTAGCTGGTGTTCAAACTGCTATTTACCATAAAGATAAAAAGCTTCTAAATATACCCGAATGTGTGAAACTTGGAATAATTAAGATATTAAGCCATCCAATGAAGTATTTGTAATTAAAATAGCAGTACATCGTATCAGTGTTTCAGTTCATAGCTCAGGCCACTAACAGTAATAAATTAGTGCAAGTTAAAGAAAAAGTTAGAGTCATTAACCTTCAATTGCTGAGCTTTTTTTCTGACCAGCTACAAAGACAACCACAGTTTATCTTGACAGCAGCCTGGGTTGGATTAAATCCATGATCACTTTAAATTGCTTCACAGAGAAGCACAGGCAACATATCCCTTCCATATGACGTGACTGCAGAGAACTGAAGTAATTTATGAAATTGCAAATTTAAGAAAGGTCTCCAAAGACAGTAGTTCTACAACTTAAAAAGCTAATCCTACTTTCTCAAAGCTCCTGCACATATATGCTGCGCTGACATCTTTGACATTATCCCCATTTATAAGCCTCTTTAGGAATCAGAAATTTTACTAATTAGGAATTAAACACACTGGATGCATTCTATTCTGTCCACGTCCACACGTTCAGGTGATGAACATTCCTGGCCCTGTGCACTGACTCTGGCCCTCCCCAGAGGTCTCTCTGGCTCAACTCCTAAGTTCCATCCTCCACCTCCCAGCTGTGGTGCCGTCTATGCTCAGTGACTAGCACGGTTTCTAAGCAATTTGCTCCAGATGTAGTCATTTTGCGAGAGATTCATCCTCTTAAAGGCTGTTTCCTCTAGTAAGGAGCAATATATACCCTTTAACTTCCACTAACCTACAGTGAACTCCTAGAGATTTCCTCAGATTTTAATTTATGCTCAATTATGTGCTGACTACTAACATCAGTTCACATCCCTCTTGCGCTGCTCTCTTGTCAGCTAGAAGATTCCTCAAAATTTGAAAGGTTTTCTAGATACAGCTGAACAGCAGCCCAATGTTAAGTGAACTGAAGAGGTAGATTACCCACAGAAATTAGAGACTCATCATGCATACAGGCACAGGACAAGTAGTTCAGATGCAAGCACACATGACAGTGATAAAATAAATCTTACCTGTGAGAAACATTGAATTTCTGAATTATCCTTTCCCCATCAGCTAACCAGATCTGGATGTTAGTGATAGGCTCCAAATCATTTAAGGATACTAATGGCAGGCCTCTTTTGTTGTCGGGTCCTTGATGTTCGTCTCTTCCTTTAGATATTATCCTTGGAGTAGCACTGAAAAGAAAAGCCACATGAAGTTGTGCCTTCTGTTTACACATGTAAGCTTAAAGCTCCCTCCAGACCTCTGCTTCTGGAGCTTTCTGTCCTGCATCAGAGTGCATCGATGACTTTTTTTGTTTTAACAAGTACAGTAATACTAACATAAATGTCGGCTTTTCCTTTTTTTTTTAACTGTGCCAATACTTTTTCTTGAAGACTTCAACATGCTAAAGAATTTCATTTTGCTCGTATTAAACATTTTTACAAGATGGAAGGGAACTTAATATCAAAGAATTAAATATGAGTACACAAGAGATGAAACAGTCTGCAGATTCTTCGTTCATTTTTTGTACTCTAGTCACACAAGTGAAACTTTAAGGGGTTTGAGTATTGAATTTGCATACTCAAAGTTAATTTTCACCATAATGTTGTTAGAATAATTCAATTTAACTAAATGTTGTTAGCCTTGATGTAGAGCCCAGCATCATCTATTCCATCTTAGAAGCATTACTCCTCTATTGGAGAAATTGACTTAATGCGAAAATACAGATTGATGCATGCAGCACTTGGATTTTATTTTTTTTGAAGGCACTTTTGACAGCTGATCCTAGTGTAAGGGCAAAGATCCATAAAATGATTTGACAGACTAGAGGGACCTCAGTCTAAGTGTGCCATCTTAAAAAACAAACAAACAACAGCGTTTTTTTTTCCTGAAGAAACAAACAAAACATAGTGGCAATTTTTTTTTCTGAAGAAATGTGTAGAGCTTAGTGCCTCTTTCAGGACTAAGCTTGCTCAGCACATACTGCTTAAGTCATCATAAGGCCTGATCCAATGGGCACATCCTCAGCTTATGTGAGTTTAACCAGATGTTTGCTTGTAAAGCAATAGCAGTGATTTAAGGAGTTACGATTTCTTCCCTGAGCTCTGCTGTGGTCGCTGACTACATGAACACTTCATGGTGGTTTGTGGAAAAATCTCCTCTTTGCACAGAAAATCAATGAGTTACTGTTTGAGAGAGAGGTTGGTAACCCACAGCCATAGATAACAATCTGCTGCAAAGACAAACTCCATCCTTGCACCCTTATGTTCTTGCACCTGTCTTAGTTTAACCATAAAGCAGAAAAGTGACAGCCAATTTATTGTTAAAACAAAGATGGCTAACAGGTTAATATATTCAGGGTACTAAAGTTAGAGTCTTGGGCTCAAGTCCTTCTCAGTCTGAGGTATTTCAAGAACTCTTATCACCCACTGCCTAGTTAAATGCCCTAACTTCTAGGCTATCAGCCAGCAGAGGCACTTTTTATTTCTTCCATTGAAACTCTGCAAAAATAATGAGAATCAAGGAATCCCATTCCCGAGAGGGTGACAGAAGATGCTTACTGCAACTGGAGGCAGATGAGAGACACAGAACTGACTGTTTTGCATTACACAGAAATCAGCTGGGGCATGAGAACTGGGCACTAAGATTCCAAGACTCACATCTGTAAAACATTTGGGTACTTTTAAGTACAGGTCACTTGTTATCACCCATCTGCTTCTACCGATTTACTTATCTCACACGCAGCTTTTGTTCATGCTTGACTTTAACACAAAATAAAACCTCAGTAACCCTTTAGATCTGGAAAAAAGCTTGAGCACCAGCAAGATAATGTTAAACAGTCTCAAGAGCAGAGTTAAAAAAAAAAGAAAAAAAGAAACACCAAAAATAAAAGCTGAAGACATACTTCAGTCCAGTAATGATCAGCTTTCGCCGTCTACTTGCTTGGTAGCGTTCAGTTCCAGGTTGAGACAGTGAAGTACGAGCGCTCATGTGTGAGCCAGCTGTCTCCAGGGCAGCAGAGCGGCAGTCAACCGCGCAGCTGCCAGGCCTCTGGTTTCGCCTGGGCTAAACTAGAGTTTAGCCTGTCAGTCACAGCTGTAGCTCAGACAACTGTCTCAAACGGATACAGATTTTGGTGCCACTCTCACACCGGCTTCCTTCATGGTCACATCTCAGAATTTGTGGTAGGAACTGAAGAGAATTCTTTCAATAGAAAGTATGTGCGAAATCGAAGCCAACATATTAAGCTAAGCTGCAAGAGAAAGCTAGATCTATATTCACCAAGGTTTAAAGCATTTCTATACTTAATAACTCTGCTCTCGTAGAACTGACAGATAAAGCCATCTAGTGGTGGGAACTTTGACTAAAGCCACAAACCAAGAATCTAAGTCTCTTATTAGCCTGAGATCAAAGCATTATCACTATTTTTAAAGGCTTATTCCTTTTATAAGATTATCAAAAGAAGACATAAACTAAAGACTGAAGAGGCATAAGAGCCTCCTGTCAATTTTCTGAAAAGAAAAAGCCCAAGAATTAGGTATCATGCCTTCCTCTGACTAGAGCTCAAGTTTGACAGTGTTTTACCCTAATGAGGTTACAGAGCAAGCCCCCTTTGCTACAAGCAATTTCAGTCAATAGTTTAATTATCATGCTTTGGAAGCAGTCTTTAAAATGCATTGATATGTTTAACGGAAAATTACACTTGTAGATCTTGCTATAGTCTCAAACTTTAAAATGCAGCTAAATGGTGACAGAATAAATGGAATATACTCATTAGTTACGTAGGTCTAAAAGTTTGGTAAGTCTCATTTGTTTCTCATGTCCAACAAAAAGGGAGAGAATCAAGCTCATCCAAGCTGTATCAACAACTACATTTCTACTTCCTCCCTTTTTCCTCTAACAGGAGTTTTCATGAGCCAGTCAATGGACCAAATGGTTCATCTACCACATAACCCATCGATATGGGAACACTGGCAGAAAATCTATAGTCTATTAGAAAAATGTTTAGTTGATAAGCAGAAACTTAGCTAGGTTATAAGCTGAAGTAAACTGTTCAGTCACTGTCTTCTCGTTTCTAACTAAGCACAGAAATGCATCTGTGGAAAGGGAGTTCTATAGCTTAAAACTTGTTACACATCTCAGACACCACTACTGTTTCCCATAAAGCTTTTCTGCTGAAAGAGTAGCATACGCAGTCAAAGAACATTTATTAAAATCAGGAAGTGAGCACTAGTTTATGGAGTAAGAGCACTTATGGCTCATGTTTCTAACATCAGCAAGGAAAAGGCTCTGACAGCATAGCACTGCATAGGCTGGTAAGAGTTGGGAGGTGAACAAGGCATTTTATCCAGTCCATATAGAAAAAAATATGCTGAGCAAGTTGTGGGATGTCTCAGTGTACAAAACCAGTCAACCGCAATTCACAGAACTGCGTGTTTCCAGAACTCGCCTACTGGGAAGCAAGATCATTACTTGCTGTGGGCATGACAGAGCACAGCAAGGAATTGAACCGCCTACCTTTTAGCACTGGTTAGCAGCACACTAAGGAGCTTTTTACTTTTGATACACAGGTCTACTTGTAGATAACGAGGTTAAGTCCTTGATCCTTGTCTGCTCAGGCTTTCAGCGCTACCAAAAGCAACTCTTGCAGCATCTCATCTGTGTCTCAAGGGAAGATTTTCCCTATTGACCGTATCTACTCAAGCATGTAGCAACCGAATGGACTGCGCTACAGAAACAGATGAAACCGATAAAACAGATACTTGCTTCTCTGTGGCAGCCTGGAACCACTCATCCTTTACTGTTATCAGTCTCTCTTCTCTGCACATCACCATCTTCTTGCCCGGCCTCATCTGTTCCTACCCAGGTCAGTACAAGCACTGGGCCTTAGCAACAAGCCCTTTCCACTTCAGGAAAACAAGCTGTTCACTCAAGGTTTCACCACAGCCTACTAACCCCAGAGGGCAGGTCACTAAGCAGTTCCACTCGTGAAGTCTTCCTGGGGGCTCCTGGTCACTGAATTCGTTCTCTTCCCTCAGCTGAAGTCTGCTTTTACAGGCACCTAAGTCTTACGCAGTCGGGATATGCGAAGCAGATAATTTGGCTGGAGTAAGCAAAAGTCATGGGGATCAAATATGTGAACTCCTGGCCTGCCCCTCTAGCACAGCCTTCCAAAATACAGTACTGTTTATAATCATCAAATCCAGTTCTAGCACTGGCATTAGTGGCTGACACTCTCCAACCACAAGGGAGCCATGGGGTAAAGGAAAGAGGATCACTGTAACACGCTAAAACATCTTACTGCAATAAATGCGTGGTTAAGTACCGAGAAATTTTAAGACAATGCAAAATAACCTCTTCTTCAGTTCCCTTTATGGGATTGTTTTACTCCCCTCTTCTCGCACTAAGTATTGCACATACAGCTTTAAAAGGGATTCTTTTCTCTTAAATCACTGAATAGAAGAGTGACAGCCTTTCAGCTGGGAACAGTTCTGCTCACAAAGAAAACCAACAGCATCCTGGCTGTACTAACAGGAACGTGGCCAGTAGGTTGGGGCAGCCAGTGATCCCCCATGCAGCACTCATCAGACACACCTCAATACTGCATTCGGATTTGGTACCAAAATAGAGAAGTTGATAAACTGGACTAAGTTCTACCAAGGGTGATCAAGACCGCCACAGGCTTCGGCATTTGCCCTGTGAGAAGAGGCTGGAGGAGAGGGATTTGTTCAGCCTGTGGAAGAGACAGTGTGGGAGGGTGGCGGGAGGACACAACACACCTACCAGCAGCCTGCCAGGGTCTACAGAAATCACCAGGAGGGAGCCAGGTTCTTCATAGAGGACAGAAATTGGAACAACAGACTGTATGTAAGGAAAAAAAGGAAGGAGAACAGTCCAGCACTGAAGCAGGCTAACGCTCTTGCAGGGTATCAAGGCCCAAGTGGCTAAAAGCCAGAGCAACCTCATCTGTCCCATGGCTGGCCCTGCTTTGAGCAGGAGCTTGGATGAGAGAGCTCCAGAGGTCACTTCCAACCTGAATTATGAGGCCCTTTACCTTAGGTATAGTTCTCTTTAGCTTCTGAGTCACAGATCACATGACATTACTCACCTCCCTAATCTGTAACCGTGTCCAGAAAAGGGATGAAACACTGGCTTTTTCGATGACAAATATACCTTATCTTTTTTGTCTTCTACTTTCACATCTACCTCCTCCCGATCAAAAACTTTTCGTAGTTCAAAAGGCAGTTCCCTTAAGGGAAGAAAAACAAAACACGTCAGAAAAAGAGCTACTATACTGTTTCCAGTATATAAAATATTCATGATTAATACCTGTTCTACGCTTATCCTTTCAAGGATGATGCTTTAAAAAAAAAACAAAACAAACCCACAAACCACAAGTATTTAACAAGTTAACTGCATGACATAGAATTTCAAGTTCCCAAACTGCAAATTAACTAGAAAGTAAACAACAAAAATACGTAATCATGTGAATTGTTGAATGACATTCAAGTTTAACTCAGCAGTTACCACTCCAAAGCACACGCCGTGTAAGAAGTTCGGTATTGCCATACGTTGCTGTGAAAGGTTCAATTATTTTATCCCCACAGAAAAACAAGGAAAAAAAAGGCTTTTAAAGAACTGAGTTTAGACACAACGTGTTTAATTATGAATAAACATAAATCTCAGCTTTTAAAAATCAGATCACCACTAATAGCTACGCTCTGTAGCGCAGTAACACCACGTCCATAATGCTTTATTTGCATTAAGCAGAACACAACAATGCTTTTGTCTGTGAGCTCTGATGCAGATACTACCTTTCTGGGCTCAGCTGGCACATGGACTGTATTAAGTGCTTCTCTACCATCACTAATTATGCAGGAACCATCTTGTAATTAGCATCTTCACAAGCAAACAGTGAATGCAAGGTGGCAAACTTCTGATGCACGCACACAAAGAAAGCAAAGGGCTTTAAACAGTGCAGTTAATTGTTGTTACAACTAACATAGGTGACAGCCATAGAGGAGAAATACAATGTAAAATTAGTATTTTTGGTGGACTAGCAAAGTATGGAGAAGACCAAAAATACAAGGGCTTAGTAATTTTACACACTTGAAAAGGAGTTGTTACATTCCCCATAAAATTATATTCTCTCCATTTGTATGAGGTTGAGGAAACAGACTACAAGTTGAAAGCTCAAGATTGCATTGGTTTGTATGGTTGACCTGCTTTTTCAAAGCAACACTAGCAGAAATCAGGAGAGAATGCTAATTTTTAACATGAGGATAAAAATAAGAATTCTACATACATACAAATGACTGAAAAAGCAAGTTTGTACTAAGAAAAATGTCTGAAATTTAAGACTGATCAGGATTATGTGACATTACATGGTGCAACTCTGCCCATTCAAGGCTTTTTGTCAATAAAAAAGAAAACAAAGACCATAAACCCAGAAATACTCAACCCCTTGTGCATTGAGTTCATTAGACAAAGTATCATTTGATCAGTAGCTCTTACTGGGCACTCTGATTTATTCTTTATTTCATTCTGCACCTGCTGTGCCCCCTACCAACACTCACTTTTATCTCTTTCAGCAGCAGCTCTACGACTACTGCAACTGAAAGCCGTATTAAACCTGTTGATGTTAAAATACCCATTAGCACTGCAGGAACGGAGACAGGCAGTGGCCTGCGCTCCAAGAGGGATACTGCACTGCAGCAAATCCAAGCAGCTATATAAAAAATTTAGAGCATAAGCTAAGTGCTATCCAAAGCACATTAACTCAGGTTGATTAAGAACACAAAACTCACCCTTTTTTAACCGAGTCCAAGAACTGCTGGTTAGCAGCATCACTGTAGCTTCTAAGTTCGCTGTCATTTACTGTAAACCCATTTTTCCAAAGTTTAATGATTACATCAACCTATAAATTAAGAACAACACTCATTATAACACCGATGTAAAAACAGATCGGTATATCCATGGTACCCTGCAACTGTAAATCATCCACTGCAGGGACTAAAAATACTGAGTGAAGATTCACTATAAACTGTTTCAGCCCTGTGCCAACAGGCAGAGCAACCGCAAGGGCTAAGTGACATTTCAAAGTATCTTGTGTCAATCAGAGTTAGAAGCAAACCTCCCCCCAGTCATTCTGGTTTCCCAGGTCAAGATCGCTCCTTCAATTCAGCAGCAAAAAAAACAGAGAGCTGGAAGATCCCAGCCAGCTGCAACACTTCAAGAGCTAATTTGAGAGTGCACACGCCTGGTGTTGGAACGTCAACTACCAGAATAGTCCAGCTGGGGATTTATGAGGGTAAAGCCTTGTTCTGGTCACTCAAGGGGATTTTCTGAAAGTAAGGCATTGAGATAATGCACACAGAAGCCTTTCGCTCAGGAAAGGCAGCACGTATCAAAAAAATGTGTGACTGTCTGAAAGTAAATTATGTTTATCCTGGAATTCCTGGGTACATTCACAGCCTTGGTGTTAGCGAAATGAAAAAATAAATTCTCAGTCATTCATTAACTTTTCAAGGAACACCCACTATTTCAACTTGTAGCGCTCACACTGTTCACTGAAATCTCTCAAACTTGAACATGATTATATTTGGGATTGCATTTTCATAGTTATGCATCATGACATTTAAGGAAGCATTTGATGATCCAGGTCGGATCCCTGAAATAACACTATCCTGAAAAGATACTTGGCCACGTGTGAGGTACATGCAGCATGTAAAAATGCAGAATTAACCTCAGCTGGAAATTAGCTTGAACTAAGGCTTGATAGTACTTGACTATTTTATGTTAGGTTTGTCTGGTTGGGTTTTTTCTTTTTTTGGCAGTTTAACTTGTTAGAAGATGATTGTTACATAAATACACAGCATGTATCACTGAGGCACAAACCCGTACTAAACATCCCACAACTATACAAGTGAGAGAAAATGAAAAGAATCTGAGCTATGCCTCTGCCTAAAAAGGCTGCAACTCGTTTAAAGTTTCTTATGTAACGCTAGTTGTCCTTCCTTGCACCCTCACAAACAGCTCACTCTCTTCACTAACAAAACCAAAGTGTGTTAGCCAATGCCACCGTAAGTACTAGAACACCACCAAAATCACTATAAAATACTAAGAGCCAGAAGCACAGAAGCGTAGGCCTGGCTGACTAAGAGATGGGAAAGTGTTCCTACTGCTGCCTGACTTCTGTGTCCCTTTATTTACAGATTTACTGGATAAGACCACGGACTTCTAGCATTTGTTTTCCAGAGTGCTCCCGGGGTGCTATTATGTTAAACACGGGTGTATTTTTTCTTCACCACCTACCTGGTTCTTGACTGTAGCTGGGGGCATACATATAGCACCAACCTTCTGAGCTTCTTCAAAAAGGTTATCTACAAAGTAGTCACAGTTTTGTTCTGTTCCAGTCAAAATCTGATCATCGGTTCCCGATTTACACATCCTGCAGAGCAAGGACATGAGTAAAAATAATACTTGTGAGAACACATTGGAAGACAAGCAGTTACCCTGGAAGTTCAGTACTAAGAGGTGTGAAAGGCTCCCCTGCACCCAGCTTCCTTGGTTGTTACAAAACATCAGGCCAGCTTTGCATCGCGTCTCTTCCAGAAACTGCTTAGGAATCTCTAATTTCTTCTGTTTGCACTTCAGAAGCCAAAGTTAAAGAATGACTATCGAAAAGGTGAATTCATCCACGCAGAAGCTTCTAAACTCGGTATCAGAGTGAGGAACACAAGTCAGATGATTCATGCTTCTAATTCAGATCATCGAACGCTGAACTGCACACCAGTGAAAGGCCCTCCCTCAAAGCATTTCCGTGATACAGGCTTGGGTGATTTCCTTTGCCATGAGTTTTAAAAACCACATACAAGCAAGCTGCCCTAGGATTTACTCCCCCAGCCCTACTCAGACCTCCCCACTGCCAGCACCATCACAGAACCACCGTCACTGCACGTGCAGCTGCCTTACAGAACTCCAGAACAAACACCTCAACACCACTTGAGCACACTGAAGGAATCCAATAGAAGACTTCAGCATTGTTGAGATTGCCAGAATATTTAAAAAGATGCATCAACCACATCTTTTTATAGCATATTGTATAGGTGACAGCTGTTTCTGCTAGATTTGCACCAGCCAAAATGCAGACATATGCAACCTGAATGAATGATTATTTTTCAGTTTAGGTTCTTTGCATAGTAAGAGGATTATGCAGCTTTTGGTAAACATTGCAGGAGTTATTCCTATTGGAGATTCAGAAAAGTCTATTTTAAGCAATTCAGAAAAAAAAAAATCCCAGCTCTTGAAAAACATCCGGTTTTACATAAAACTCTGCACTGAATGTAAAAGCAGAGCTGCTTACTTGAATGGTAATTAGATGTATCTGTATAAAAAGGAATTGCTTGCAGTCCATCTACGCAATACTAAGGATCCCTACAGATTAACACCTTTAAACAAAAGCTCAACAACATTAAAAAAGAAATTTCAAAATTATGCTGTCCCCATTTTAGTTTTCTAACAGAACAAAAGAAACTCGAAGCCTTAATCTAGGCATTCACCATGCTTTACCTCAGAAACATAACTGGAAAACCAAACATTTCCATATCAAATGTAGAGGTGCGCAGCAAGTTAGCAATTTGCAATACTGCCTTTCTATTTTAAATTAAAATATTTATGCAGTTTCTTGTATCTAGGAAAAATTCCAGGTATGTTAAAAATCTTTCAGAAAAACATTTTTTAAAGAAAAAACACTTCAGTATACATGAAGCTGGTAGATACAGTAAAAATAATAAAACTTTAAAAATTAACATAAAGTTTGAGAAGTCTCAACACAACATACAAAGAGCAAGAGAAATGGAAGAACAAAAAGGAGAAGGAAGCAGCACTTACCATTCTTTCTTTACAGTTTTGATATTGTCCATGTCTTTCATTCTGGTGCTACACCTAATTATGAAAAAAAGATGTTTTAAAAAACCAAACCCAAATAAACCCAAATCAACTAATCAGACAAAACACCCCACACACTTTGCCTCCCTTTGTAGCTGAAACACTCTTAATAGTTTTTTCTCTGTGTAAATAGTATATTTAAACAGAAACCTCAACCTCCTCCCCACCAAGTCTCCAGATGGTTCTTTGTTTTCCTGCAGCTCCTGATTTAACGACACAGGAACCATTTATCAGTTTCAGACTTTTAAAAGGAAGATTACTTTTTCATAGAAGGACAAAAGAAATTCCACAATAATCACGTGAACTGAAAATATATGCCCATACTTATGCTGACCAAGGAAAAAACACCACATTTGCCTTTTCAGAGCGGCATGATTTACACCCCCCTGATTCTTCACAACACTGAGATGGTTGCAGGAAAACTGCACTGCCACTGCAGGCATTCGTAATGACCTTCACCTTAGCAGCATCCATTACTGAAAAGGGCAAGATTTGTCAGGTTCCCCTTCCTGCAAGTCCTCAACATATTAGTGCAGCATCCCAGAAACTGTGAATTATCATTTCTGGTCTCCCGTTTAGCTGGAAAGAAAATCCTGGATTTGCAAGTACTAAATATATTACAGGATTAGCCTGTCGAGTCAAAAGAAGTGAAGAATGCCACACTGATCTCATTACACTCATCCTGAGCTCTCTGAAAACACTTACAGGAAGTCACAAAACACCAGAGACTCCTCAAAACACCCTTAAACCAAATAAAATTACTCCAAAATTAGACAAGCCCCCAGGAGAACAGCAATTTTAAGTTGCCACAGTGTTTAAAGGCTTATTCCTGAAGATCACTGGGTGCAGGTTCCACAGATTATTTTCTGCTCCCGGCAGGTTTGGGACTCAGGTTACAATATTGTGCGTGGCTTTTGGAGAGGATCAAATTAAGTAATGACAGCCAGACAGCCATTACACTCCTGAAAAAGTAGTACGCACAGCAAGACTAAAATAAATTTTAAATGGTTTTGACATCTAATTTAACAAGATGGAGAGGTTAGGGGGAAACAACACTCACTGCATCACTAACAAAAAAAAAAAATCAGTTATTCAGTACTAATTCATGTTCCTCAGGAGGCTGACACTGGTATATTTTCATCTTGAAAGTTAAATACTCATGAGACATGTTCTGTAGAAATATGTATAAGCCTTCAGAAAACCTCCATAATGACCGAAAAGATTCTGTCAATATGTCCGTAACAGGTTTTAAAGTTTAGGTAGCCGTCACTTTAACCGATGCTGTTATGCATTAGGTCAAAGTACTATACTTGGCACACCTTTGGCATGTCACACAAGATGTGGTACAATCTCTTCCCCCACACACCCCCTCAAACACTCTGCCAGGGCGTTATATGGACCAGGCAAGCCTGCGCTGGTACATTACGACCTTAAAAGCTTATCTCACTGCTGCACTTGGAACTTTGTACCACACTTGGGAAAAAACCAACCAAACAAAAAAACCTTTCATTATCAGGTAAGTATAGTGAGTGTAAAAGTGCTTCAAAAACGTAATTTTTCAAACTTCGCCTAAATAAAGTCTTAATACACTTCAGCACAAGACAAAAAAAATACTTTGTGCTGATGTGTTTATCTTCTAACCTGTCACTATTCAACAGACCACTCCCCAAAGCAACAAGAGCCACCTCCAGCCATCTGCTTCTGTTGATTCTATGCATTCTTGTCATCAGAGCTATTAAAAAGAAACAGACACAATGAAACAGCTCTTCAGATTAATTCTTTGGCTACATTAGGCTGGCCTCAAACATGCAGGAATAGCATTCAAAACTGGTCAGCTGTGAAAGTCGCTGTTTCTTCTGAAGTACAGCAGCAATTAGACTTGGAAGAAATGTTTGTGCTGCCGTATCAAGGTAAAGGAATCAGCCTATACAGAGCATATTGATGGTTGCTGTGACCAAAAAGCATTAGGAGACAGCGGTCAGGCTGCGCTGCGAGCACTTCTCAGCAAGACAACCCAACCTGCACCACCAACCTCTTCCCACCAATTTCAGACAAGCATCCCCAGATGTGACGTAAAACACCAAAAGCTTTTTTTTTTTTTCTTTCCAGGCGTCTGTGATAAAAAACATCACAGAGCTGAACTGCCACCCCCGGAATTTATATTTAAAACACAGGAAGAAGCCGAAGCTGCCGGCAGCCCACCACAGGCACATTTGGTGGCAGCAGTAGGATCTTCCCCAGCACAGACCCGCTTCTCCAGTCTCAAGGACTTTCCATCCCTGCACCTGACTCCAGAGGACATGGGCCACTGGCCCAGTGGTGGCCTTTGGCAGCCAGACCTCAGAAACAAGCAGCTCTTGCCTACACAGATACGGACCTATTAGCTTCAGCAGATCTTTTTGTGCTCAGTGCTACCGACCCCACACTGCCAGCTACTTTAACGCGAGGAACCCAAAACGGAGCGGAGCTTTGACGGTCTCCTTGCTCCGAAGGGCAGAAACACC